CTGTTTTCGATTTCATGACTTTATAGTACACTGTTGAAAGTCCATTCTAAAAGAGTGATGAAAATAATACTGATTTCAGAGAATGTTCATTGCTGAAACAGCTTCTCAAGCATTTGCTCTATTCTGCTGGGAGGGTCTCCTTGGTTCTATTTTAAAATGTTGCATGCAGTTTGGGTTTGGCATTTGTATTATTTAGAAACATGTTTCATTTCTTTGTTCCAAACTAAATCTGCAGCAAACTGGTTTGAACATTTGGGTGATTTCTGTGAGCATATGTTCCCATTATCTTCATGTTTTAGTTCTAAAAATGCACAGGGACACTTGACTGCTTGTAACCTGGGGGGTTTCTGGGGTGAGAGGCAGCACTGAATCATTTCTTGCATGTGATGTTATTGTTATGTACTTCCTTTTTATATGCACGTAGTTCTGAAGATAAGGTTCTGGGCCACAGGAGGAAAGGGACTTTCTGCTTTTCTGGTTATCAAATGTCTGTTTTTCATAGTATAATTTCTCTGATAGATAAATTTTTGTGCCTCTGCATCCAAACCAGCAGCTCCTCTGGTCATTTTGCCATTTGTCAGTGGAACAGATAAATCCATACTCATGGAAAAGCTTGGGGTTTACTCCTTACTGGAATTCAGATCTTTTTAAAGATTTCCATTTTAAGCTCAAATGTTGAAGTTCTCTTCTTTTCAAAATTTTGTCTTTATTGTGCTTTGGTTTTGTTTTTTTTTTTCTCTCTACTAATAGTTTGGCAAGACTTGAAGGAAAAAGGTGTGAATATAGAAATGAAAAATAAAGAATAACAGTAGATAGTCAAACATCCTGAATAATATGTTATTGTTTTAAAATACGGTAGTGGATGTAGCATACTACATCCTAATTATAGCCTTTGTGATTAGAAGTAATAATTGAAAGTGTAAAATGAGATCCAGGGAAGAAAAGACCTGCCAGGTTTGTGCTGCTGAAATGCCTGGAGAGGAAATGTTTTGCTTTGGTCATGGCTGACCAAACAACTGGAGAGGGAGAGAGGAGAGAGAGCTTCTTCTTATTAGGTGGTTCTTGAGATTAACTCATTCCCTGATTTGTGGGAAATGACTGTAAAATCAGGACTTTTTCCTAGCAACAGCAGCTCCTCCCCTTTTTGTCAGCCTGAATTTTTTTAACGTATTACAAGCTGAGGTTTATGCAGGAAGAAATTTTCAGTTTCTGATAAAATGCTGGTTTAGTCAGTGCTGGCCACTGTTTCAAAAAGTAATTTAGTTGTATAAAGTTTTTCAATGGCTTTATTTTAAAATTTTGTTCATTCAAAGTCGTATTAGTAATACTAATTATTTTTAAATATTTCATTTTCATTCTTTATCTGTTCCATTCTCTGCTTCTTTGTAAAATACTTGCAAGCAACCTTTCACATTTTCTGGCTTGGCAGATAATGAATGTCTATTTTCTGCTGAAACAGGAGTGTAATAAAACAGTTGGACTTCTAAGTTAATTTCAGCTGTTTTGCATTCTCTTAATATTACATAATTAGAATATTCAACAGATTTCTGGGCTCAATAGTAATATGCAGTTGCACATTGCAGGGAGATGAACCAAATTAATCCACTAGATTTTTTTTTAAACAATGAAATTATCAGTAATTGTACTGGTCATGTCTGGTAGGTAGCAGATGCCTCAAATTGGAGACCTTTATTAAGAAGCTGTTTCTAATTCCAGTTGGGACTTTTAATTAACATTTATTTAATAATATATATACTATATATAATAAAATCCTAAATAATAATAATTAACCATATTACATTGGCCATTTTTGTAGTGTGCTTAATGTACTTAATTTCTCACCCATCAGAGAGGCCGTGTGTGCAGGGTGTGGAAGTGAAGGTGTGTCAGCTACTCCCTCAGTCGCAGGGAGACTTCTCCTGGTTCTTGCTGTGAGCCTGGAGCAGAATCCTTGACATTTTTGTGTGCTGGCAGTTTTAATAAGTGCGCAGGTAAGAATAAGAACCACCCTCGTAACCCTGCAGTGAGTGGCTCGTGCTCTGAGTCTGTGTAGGAGTTACAGAGTGGTTGGGTTGGAGGAGCCCTCGCAGGCACCGAGTCCAGCCATTCCCCCAGCACTGCCAAGGCCACCCCGTGTCCCCAGGTGCCACATCCACACGGATTTTAAACTGTCCCCTCCAGGGAGCAGAGCAGCCAGTTTCTCCAGGAGGCTGCGAGAAGCAGTGCCAAAGGCTTTGCTGGAGTGCCAGCAGGTAACATCCCCAGCCTGTCCCTCAGCCACTAAAGCAGGTCGCTTGTCACAGCAGGAGAGCAGGTGGGTCAGGCAGGACTTGCCCTTGCCCAGCCCAGGCTGGCCGGGCCTGATCTCCAGCTTGTCCTGTGTTGACACTCAGGGTGACCTGCTCCATGACCTGCCCAGCACTGAGGTCAGGCTGCCACATCTGGGGTTCCCCAAACTCTCCTTCCCCCCTCCTTGCAGATGGGTGTTTTATATTTGATAACCTCCAGTTACCCAGGGCTGCTGGAGATGACGGAAGTTGGCTCAGTGAACGCTTCTGCCAGCTCGGTGCTGCTCCCCTCAGCGGAGCAAGCCAACTTGTCATCCTTACAGCTTCACACAAGTCATATTTGTTGACATATTTTTCTTCTTCAAACATATGTAAAGTAGAAGAAGTAGAAAGCAAACTGCTTTTCTTTGCCAGTGAAGTTTCACTTTAATGAAATAATTCATATGGAGCTTCAGCTGCTCCTGGGAGGCCGGGAAGAGCTGAATGGGGGAAGCCTGAAAGCCTGTGCACGTGTGTTTGCTTGGAAGGGCTGCTGTGGCCTGTTGTGAAAGGTAATTACTTCCATGCTTCAAAGGTCAGGTGGCAGGCAATAGGCCCATGAGCAAAATGAGATCAAGCATTACAGTCAGTCAAGCATCACATTTATATCTGGAAAAAGTACAAAAGGCAGACTAAAAATTAAGAAGAAACCCTTATCTTTAGTCAGAACTCTGGGCAGATGTCCTTCCAACTTCTTCTGATTAGGGCAGTACTCTTTTTGTTGAGTAAAAGGTTAAGGGATCTATCGAAGGTAGCATTACTAAAATGTCAACAGGAGGTTATAATCAGCAGGGAAGGGTTACTAAATACTTCACCATGCAAGGCTGAGGAAAGCAGAAAATGTCAACAGAACCTAAGAAGATAATTCCAGCCTTCCTGTTAAAAACAAATTTGCCATGATTCTATGGAAAGTACTTACAAATAAACTTGCAGCTAGGATGTGATGTCCAAAATAGCACAGCCTCTCAGCTGGCAGAACAGAGGGGAATTTCAGTATTTAAAGAGAGACCCTGAAGCAGCTCAGTATCATACCATGTCTTTAATGGAGGCTTCAGGGAGAATAATGTGTTTGTTTTTAGCGGGTGGTTACACAGTTTCAATGTCACCGGCAGAACTCTGGATAGTTTATCATTTTTAAGTTGAAAGCCAGCTGTATCACGGAGGAAAAGGGATTAGTTTCCTGTCAGCTTCCTTTTTGGAAAAAGCAGTGTGTGCACACTGCAAGTATTTCCAGCTTGGGTTAGGTATGTTTGAAAATACCTTTTGGTTGGAGTAATATTTTGATGGGCAAAGAGAGAGGACTTGCTTTCAGTTTTACATGTTTATAGAAGCGTTTTAAGAAATCTAAGGGGCTTTTTTTCCCTCCGTCTCTTTAAAAAGTACGAACTGTTCAAGCTGGGAGAGTTTGCCTGGGGTTAACCCTCAGCTCTTCAGTCGGTGGAGAAATTGCTCTGTACTTTTTGAAGGGACAGCTGAGAGACAAACAGGAGGGCTTTGGTCTTTCAGTATATGTGAATGAAGGAAAAAAATACAGGGCGTGGTGGGAATGTGGAATTTTACTTCTTTGCAGTTTGGGTGTACCTTTCCTAAAACAAAAGCTAGGGGAAGTGCTGCAAATGCTTGTATTCGTGCATGTGTGAATGTTTACTGAGTCTTTCGAGGGATTAAAAAAAAAAAAGTAAAATTTCGTTTTTCTGTCAATGCTCTGTGTACACAGGATGAGACAGACAGTAAATAGCGCTGTGAAACATGAAAAGATGGAAGAGTGAAAGTGCATATATTGCAGTGTGAGAGTGCCCTCCTGCAAATACAACCCAAATACAAATTGCTGTTAGTCATCAGTACTTCAGAATACACCTAGGGCTCAGTTTTTAAATGTTTCCTATTGTGTGCAACCCTTTTAATATAGATTTTTTCCTTTCCTTTATTCCTTAGCAATAACAGCATTCACGTGAAAACAAAGCAGTTTCTTTGCTGGATAGGTGCTATTGAGCTTTCTTCACCTGAAACCATGTTACTATCATTAGCTAGAAACACCGTCCCTTGGGATGCTTTACTCCAAAACCTGCCCGAAGTATCCCACGGGAGCAGTATTTCACTAGCAGGGAAATAAATGAGATTTCTCCTGCAAGTGCTTTTTCTCAACTTTAGTTTCTAGAAGCATCATAGCTCTCAAGATCCATTAAATCCCAATCTCCATGAAAGTAATCCTTTTATGTCAATTTGCAATATAAGGGTAAGAAAATACTGCTTTAATTTGTCAAAGCAAAGAAACACGTAAATAAACATCTGTCATTTTGAATGGAAATGAGCAGTCTTATAAGAAATTAGAAGTTTTCATTCATTTTACAGAGTAGTTGCTGAGTGACTTACTCAGGATGTTATTAGTAATTAGTGTATAAAGTTAAATAATACCTGAAATCTCTGTTCTTCTGTTTGAGTCATGCTCTAAAGATGTCATGGGCATGACAGATTGAGACTTGCAAAAACTGCAGGAAGAACTGTGGTAGTTGACATGAAAGCCACGTTACCTGTAACACTTGCATGTGAACAACAGAACCCGCTAGATGCTTACACAAAATGAAACTAAAGCAAACCGGTGCTGTTTGCTGTTGAGAATTTTGCTGTGCCGGACTCACCCGAGGCTTTTTCTGTTTCTCTTTTGTTGTGCAGCGTTGAGGGGGAGGCTCCCAGCAGCGAGACCGGCACGTCCCTGGATAGTCCCTCTGGCTACCCGCAGGGCCCTATAACGCACAGCTCCGCCCTGAGCCCCGAGCACTACGAGCACCCCTACGGGCTGTACTCCATCGCGCCGGGCCAGCAGCGAGCCCGCCGGCCCAAGCTCCAGCACTCCACCTCCATCCTGCGCAAACAGGCCGAGGAGGAAGCCATCAAACGGTCCCGATCGCTTTCCGAGAGCTATGAACTCTCTTCAGACCTACAGGATAAACAGGTATTTGAGCTCAGCTGCCTCGTTTGGGTCTGGGAATTGGGAGAAGTCTTTTCTAGCATCATTTCGGTTGGGACTTTAAATTCTGTTATTCTTTGTCCCGCGTAACTTCCCCACCTCCTGGAGAAAATCGTAAAAGATATGTTAATACTGTTAAAAGTAAAAACAGTTCTTGGAACTGAGGTTTTATTCTCCAGGAGTGTACTAGAATCATGCAAAATAATTTTCTAAGAAAACAAGTCATTTTGAAACCTGGGTGTTTTTGTCACAGAAAGGAAGGAAGAACTTACTGTACCTGATATTCTCTTATATCTGTGAGGTGAATTAATATATTTTTGTATTTTATGGTGGAACTTAGAGATGATTATTCCATTCATTACTGAAGTTTTGACTTTCAAAACCAATAAATAAAAAGTATATTAAAGTCGTTACAAGAATTGAATGCTTTTGTGAGGCTTTTCCCTTGTGCTGAGCTGTGTGAAGTGACGAGGCTGCGTGTGTTGCTCTGGCAGGTGGAGATGCTAGAACGGAAGTATGGGGGCCGGCTGATCACCAGACATGCTGCCCGCACCATCCAGACCGCCTTCCGCCAGTATCAGATGAACAAGAACTTCGAGCGCCTGCGCAGTTCTATGTCTGAGAACCGCATGTCAAGGCGCATCGTCCTGTCCAATATGAGAATGCAGTTTTCCTTTGAAGGACCTGAGAAAGTCCACAGCTCCTACTTCGAAGGGAAGCAAGTTTCTGTTACAAACGATGGGTCGAAGCTGGGCTCCCTGGTACCGTCAGAGTGCGACGAGCTCGGGGAGACGGCTACCATGAAGTCCCCGGCAGCATCCACTGATTTCACTGATGCTATAACAGAACTGGAGGATGCTTTTTCCAGGCAGGTGAAATCCCTGGCAGAATCCATCGACGACGCGCTGAACTGCCGCAGCCTGCATTCGGATGAAATCCAGAGTGCGGAGCAGGTCAGGAGCCGGGAGATGGAGAGGGAGAGCTGTGCCCCGAGCAAACCAGCCATCCACAATGTGGATCACAGGAAGCTGGATGAGATGACGGCGTCCTACAGTGATGTCACGTTGTACATCGACGAGGAGGAGCTGTCCCCACCTCTGCCGCTCTCCCAGTCCGTGGACAGACCGTCCAGCACGGAGTCGGACTTGAGGCTCCGTGCTGTGAACTCTTCCCAGGAGTACTGGTCCATGACCCACAAAGATGATAAGATAGACACTGATACGAGCTGCAGGAGTACCCCATCACTGGAATGTCAGGAGCAGAGGATGAGAATGGATCACCTCCCTCTGCTCACTATCGAGCCGCCCAGTGACAGCTCCGTGGACTTGAGCGACCGCTCTGAGAGGGGCTCCTTAAAGAGACAGAATGCGTATGACCGAGGCATCACCAGCCAGCAAGGCAGCCCCAAACATATCCCTCACAGCATTCCTGCCAAGATCATCACCAGGGAGGAGCAGGAGGCCAGGCACAGGGCTAGGCCCATAGACAGTCACTTGGCCATCAATGGCACAGCAAACAGGCAAAGCAAATCAGAGTCTGATTACTCTGATGGAGACAATGACAGCATCAACAGCACTTCCAACTCCAATGATACAATAAATTGCAGCTCAGAATCCTCTTCTAGGGACAGCCTAAGGGAGCAAACCTTGAGCAAACAAACCTACCACAAAGAGACTCGAAACAGCTGGGATTCCCCTGCCTTCAGTAACGATGTTATCAGGAAACGCCATTATAGGATTGGGCTGAATCTTTTTAACAAGTAAGTACAGCCATTCCTGCCTTCCTCTCTGTGTCACTGAGCATGAACCAGGAATATTTTTCTTGTATCAGGTAAGACTGGTGTTTGGTACTGACCTTTCAGTGAATAAACAAGGTTCTTGTGGTCACTGTTCATGTTCAAGTTTAAGTTGATGTCTTCACAGTTTAACGGCTTCAGGAAGAAAGAAAAAATATAATTACGTGTACAGGAAGGGTAGTAAATTATTGAAGATTAATCCAACTCCTTTCTTGGGGAAAAATATGGTGGCTTGATCCTGATCCATATTTTTGGTGTTATATTACAAAAAATTCAGATTTCTTCCTGCCATAATCATGTAGGTGGTGTAAAACTCATCAGATGGGAGTTAGAACCAGCATGCAGCATATGATGAGTTTCCTGTTTAACACTGGCAGGGCCTAGAATTTGTTCAGTAGATTTCATTAAAACTGTGTTGCTAAAAGCCAATGCACTGCACTGAATATTTTTTATACTAAATTAATGTTTATTATTTATCATAAAACTATCACAAAATTCGTATTTCTGCCTGTGACTGATAGTTTCCTTATGTTTTCCCTGTGACTTGTGTGATTTCAGGGCCCCTTTTCAGGTAGCAGTGCTTTGATGTCTTTGGATTGATGGGTTGGTGGTTTCTCCTGCATTTGTTTTAACATTGCAAAGAATTAAAGCTTTTTGGTCCCATCACATCAGCTGTGCACTACATCCCCAAGTCTGGCTGTAAACACTTTCAGGTTTAGTTTTTAATCTTGGTGAAAATGCCTTTCTGGGAGCTTTCAGCCAATTGGAATTATTCAAGTTCTAGGATTGCTGCTTGTGAAGTTGAATGGGTAGGAGAATACATCAATTAGCTCTTTTTTAGAAGGTTTGAAAATAACATCCTTGGCATCCTGGGCAGGGAGGAAGGTGTTGGTGCTCTTGGCTGATATTTAACACTTGGTGTTTGCCTGGGTTCTGCACAGCAATTAAGTCTCGAGTAGTCAATGCTCAGTGAGCTTCAGGCTTGGTAAGAGCCTTTTGAGTCAGCTGCAGAAGGGTGTAGGGAAAAGGTGAATGGAAAAAGTGCTCAGGCAGCTTGTAGGGGTGAATGAGAGCATTGGAAGCTGTCAGGTGCTGCTAGTGACATGTCAGTAGGAGGCTGAAAGTGAAAAATAAACATCAGGAAAAGACAAGAATAGAGGCTGTTGTTTGAAACAGATCGAAGTGACCTTGCTGCACGGACTTGCACAGAGAGAAACCTGCTCTCTTTATTGCTGTGAGGTGATGTGCAGCTCCTCAGCAGTGAGTGCTGCAGGACAGCATTGTGCAGAGCTTCAGGCAGCACCTCTGGCACTGTGTGATTTCCTTGTCCCCACTGCATTTTATCTCCAGCACTGAAAACGAATTGAAGACTGTCATTACTTCCTGCTGAGTCAGTGTGATTCTATTGATTGGTCAAACAGTCCCCAAATATCCTACATATCCCACGTCTTGGGTTTTGATTGTGGCCCTTCAAGTCTAAGGATTGTGACATTCTCGTTAATGTGCAGTGTCAGGTATTGAACCATCACATTCTGTGATGGTGCATTAATCTGTAAATTCTTTTGAAAAGGGAGCTGGAAATCCTTCAAAGCTTTATTCTTGTAAAAGCTCAGGAGTCTCTAGAGAGTGCATCAGGTAGGATTGCAAATTGCATCTTGAGGTGAGTGGTCAGTGCAGTGGTCATGTCAGTGCAGCAGAGTCACTTCACTGTCTTCACCACATTATCTTCACAACACATTTATGAGCATCAAACGAGGGAGCAGTGGGAGTGTTGGCAGCAGCTCCTGGGAGGATGTGTGCTCCACCCAGGAGGAAGCACTGAAAGAAGAGGCTTTGAACTTACCTAGTACAAGAAGGCACGTTTTTTTCCAAATGTCTCCATCTACCAGAGGAAATTTTAGGGATGTCTTTTACAAGGAGTTCAGGTTAATTTCACCATGTCTTTGAAATCTTCCTTGCAAATTAAGATCCCAAGCTTTAATTAACAAATGTTCTTTCTTTGTGGTACATGAAGCTTGGCTGAAATGCGAGAATTAAGAACCTTAAAGAAGTGCAGGAATTGTAGCAAATACTTCTGCTTTGTTCAGTAGAAATTCTACAGGAATGAAGATTTTAAAAGCATGGAAAGTCACTATCATCACAATTGAAATTTCACTTTTTAGCTTTTCTGGCTGTCCTATTTTAATAACAATTTTCAGAAGCCAAAGTGCAGTTTTCTTATCAGAGGCTCTTTGTTAGGATAGGCAGTTATGGGTGGGGTAAAAGTTGAGCACAGCTGGTGGTCTAGTTCATTTAATCACTGATAGATGCAAAACATCAGTAGCACAAAGCTCCCTGGAGAATGGAGAACAGAAGAATTTGGGAAAAAATTATAGGTAATTGAAAATCACTTTTCTGGGAGTTCTATTGGAAGAATATAAGAAGAAATTCTATTGGAACCCATGGCAGAGGGTTTGAAATAAATAATCTTTCGGTCCCTCCAAGCCTGAACCATTAGTGACTCCATGATTATCACTTGATCATGGATTTTTTTTCAAACTGTGACTTGACTTTCAATTTGGAACCTTAGTTTTGATTAAAGAAGTGCACTTTTCCAACATCATTTGTAGTAGCCAGTAAGCTAGAAGGTAAAGTATCCCCCAAAATGGAATTATTTCTGCCAAAGAAATTGCAACGGCTTCTGTGCATTGCCGTGGCTCTGAATGGCAGCAGTGATTCCCCCTGGCAATGGGCTGGCAGTGTGTGTTCCTATTCATTCCTCCCCAAAGGAAGGGTTGCAGGTGCATGCCCAGAGTGCAGCAGCTCCCAGGGAGCCTTGGGCAAGCCAGCTGTGTTGAATTAGGCATTTTCTTCAGTGGAGCTGGAAAGGGATGTGGACTGGGAGAATTGCACTAGAAACCATTCCTCCCTCACAGGCAGAAGGAAAACACTACCTAGAAAGGTTTATTTTGCAGGCTGCAAATCCTGCCAGTGCAAATCCAGCCTTCGAGACTGGTTTGCTTACAAACAAGCCTTCAAGAGGCCTTTTGACTGCTGCTTTGAAAAGAGAAACAAGGAGAACAAAAATGAAAAAAGGATCTGTGATTTCATTCTCCTGTTTGTTTTGACTGCAGGCTGGAAATACCAGGTTTACCAGTTACTGCGCCCCATTCTGGTAGGATTTTCAGGTTCCATCCTGTTAGTGATGCACTGATGGTTCTGAGAGATGCACTAGAATGGAGCGTTTGACCTCAGCAGTGTGAGGAGACGTGTCCTGCCCGTGGGTCAGCAGTGTAGGGCTGGCATTCTGTTCGTGTGGATTGCCACAGAGCCTTATGCCACCAGAGGGGTGACAGCAGCTCTGGGTCCCTGCCAAGCGTTTGTGGCTGCCAGGTGTGTTTGTTGCTAACACTGCCCGGGGTTACTGTGTCCCCTGCCCACGGCGACACACCCGGCAGGGCCATGGCAAGGCCAGGGACAGCGACAGGGCAATGCCTGCTCAGCACTCCTGGGCACGGGACACAAACACCTTCTGTGCTAACAAAGCAGTGTCAGCAAAACCGGGACCACATCAGAGCGCTTTGAAAACTTGTAGCTGTGCCTGGTGTTACAGAAGATGGGAGATAAGGGTTGGCATGGCTCAGCCTCAGTTTTTAATCTAGCAGAGCCTGGAGTCATGTTTAGTGTCTCCTTTGGGATATCAGCTGTTGGAAGGCACTATAAACGCTCCTCCCATCTGGCAGGGTTCCTGTGGCATTGTGTTCCTTGCCATGGGAGCCAGTCTTGCTGGTGCTGATTGCTCACACTACTAGTGAGGAGAGGCTGCAAAGTGCAGCTCAGGGGCTGTTTCACTGCTCTGAGCTTGGTGCCAGGGCATCATTTAGGTTTTACATCCTAATCCTACGTGTACTTCTTGGGGGTACATGAACGTGACACCACTTTAATGTGCTAGAACAGAGCCTGGGCCAGCAATCATTTTACAATAAATTTTCCCAGATGCCTTTCAATCCCCACCTCCCTTCTTGTGTCCTCTTTTCCTCTCTGGAAAGGGCAGGGACAGATGGAGAACGGTTCCCCACATGTCCTCAGTGCATTATAATGCCCTGTGTTGAAGAGTTTGCTGTAGCTTCTTTTATAATGGGCCATTATCAAGGTTCCTGCTATTCCAAAGTTCTCCCAAAGGATTTATTGACAGAGATAAAAAGGCTTGAATATCTGTTTGCAATATGCAATGATGTATCATCCTTCGCCCTGAAAGCCCTTCTGGCTTCCTTTATTGCACGATGGGGATGATTTTATTCCAATTTAAAACCCACTGTTGATATGAATTGGGTACTAATTCCAGGAGCAAGCTTTTTCTAACATTTCTAGATTCCCTGGAATATTAATTTAAGAAGTTTTTTATTTTACTAAGCAGATATGAGAGGAATTTGCTGAGTGCTGGTGGGATTATACCAAAGACAATATTACAAATTACAGTTTCTAGATAAATTCTTGCTGGAAATCTGAGGCACACAATAATAATAATTGTGAGAAGGCACATTTTTCATTTGCCATGAAAGCAGCTTTAACTGTTCAACAGAGGTATAAGGATTCCATCATTTTCTGTCTCTGGGTAGAGACTGAAGGTAATTTGGATTCCTGTGCACTGTTACACTCAGAAAGTGCTGCAAGCTTGGTTTCTGTTTGGAAACCTTAAAAGTCGCCAAATGTTGCTTACTTGGTTTTTAAAAAATAGTTTTGCAAGTAGTCATTAATTTAACTTCTGTAATAAGTGCACTAATCTGGTGTTCTCAATTTACACCCATCATACTCATAATGAATTTCAGTTAAGATGCTGAACATACTTCTTGTATTGCTTAGAGTCAGTCTCATTACATCCATTCAACATTCCAATATCTGGTCTCTAAACACGTGCTTTCGGACTGTCCTCCTTTCAATTTCAATTTGAAAGCTTATTGGAAACATTTCTAATGATTTTAAAC